AAATACACAGTAAAACCAGCAAAATCATTTGTCTTCGAAGGAAAACTTCGAGAATCACGAACTTCAAGTCATGGTAGAACCACGAAATCATCTAGGCGTTCCATCCCAAAACGATAAGGAGCTTGGGTCGAGGCACTTTTGTGGGGTCCCTGTGGATAGTCTTTTACTCCTTTTACACCTTAAAACAGTTTTGGATGCAGTTTATTTGAAAGGCAAATTTTTCTATTTCTACGCATTATTGATTTTCCATAAGTTGTGTATGATTTTGCTGAAAAAACAGCTAGTTTTAGATTTTTTATGGTCGGGCTCCCTCTGGTAAATTCAAGCCATTTTGGAAGCGAAATTTGGCATGTTCCACCAATGGGGTTTTTTGGTACTTTTAGTATGTTGTTTAGGACACTTGTAGCGACCTTTTGGCGATAATAAAGTTCTGTTGCAATTAGTTTGAGGTCGGCCTTAAAAATCTCATTCCCTGGACTATATGAGTAAAACGCAGGTACGTCTAGGCTTGCTGACCATGAGAGTTTCAAACGCTTTTCTGAGTGACTTAAACGAATTTCCTGTTGATAACCAAAGTGGAATAGACAAACCCATAAGAAAACCAATGAAAGCGTGTCAGCTAAACCCACAGGACTCTACCTTAAACCAAAACAGGAAGTCTGATGTAGGTAACGATCAAGGTCAGTAATGGTTCCAAAACCTACCCACTTAAAAACTGACAATCAAACTTAATTAAACCCCAAGCTTGATGACACTTTGGTCGACAAACCCATTAAAAAGGTAATAACACTCAAAAACCTGTTAACACATATATGGATTAACCTTGATCTATAAACTGATCATAACAAGACTCTAGTCACGAGGGAAACGTCAAGCACAAACACGAAATAAACTTAAAATAACCTACAAAATACTTCACAACAATATTCTTATTTTTTTGACTCTTTCCCAATATACCACTGAAACGAAACACCCAGATTATGCTTTTGTAATTCCAGCTCTTCAGCTTTCCATTTCTGAGCCATACCATTTTTCTCGTGTAAATATGCAACTGTTTCTCCACCACTCCTCCTTGTGATCTTTGGCTTTGTTTGAGCATTCTCTTCATCTTTTCTGTGTTGAGCGAATGCTCTCCATTGCTCTCTTCTGCATCTCCACAGCTTTAGCATGGTCTGCTTTCTTCTTGTTGCTTTCAACTGTGTTTTCAGCATCACTTTCCTTTTCCATTATTTGTTCCAAAGCTTTTTCGACATCACTCATGCTGTGCTCACTGAACGCTTTGAAACTCTAAACCTTGGAATTTCCAAGGAGTTAAGATTATTGGCAATCTGGTCCCGAATGTTTCCTCTCGCAATACTTCCCTTTTTCGCTTTAAAATATCTTGAGATAGACAGAGGTACAGAGGTCATGGTCTTCCGTCCACTCCATGTTAGACCTACAATTTGAAAAAAAATAACGAAGACTTCATCTCGACCTTGGAAACCGGTTAAATCGATTCACCGTTAAATCAGTTCAGATCTTTCCAAAGCAAATCAAAGCGGTCTCAGTCATGTTTGTGTACACGTGTACATCTGCAATATGCCGCCTAATTCAAGCATAAACTAATCATGATGTTGTATTTTGAGCAGTTTCGAGAAGCAAGCGTTTCGTGTCTCAACGACGATGCATTTTTTTGCCTTACTGAAAGCTCTCGATTAAAATTACTTTGTTAGAGAAGCCGAGTAAAAAAAAAACGCTATTTCGAGAAAAGATGGGTGACATAATCTATTGGACCTCAATTTAATGCCGAAACCAGACGTCTGCTGTCGTCGGATTTTAAGCAGGCTATTGTCATCCTGGCAACACACCGTGTCCACGGAGTTCTTCCACCACACGTTAATAGTCTGACCCATCTGGACAGGAACTCATTGACTGAACATCATTTTCATCATGGATTTGACTATCGCGAGATTCTAGGGTTTCTCTTACTTTGTCATGGAATACAAATCAGTCTTTGCCAGCTGAAGCGAATTCTTAATGCTACAGGCTTGTACAGGAGACGGGCGTATAGCAGCCCTATTAATGTTATAACTGCAGTTGAAAGGGAGCTTGGAGGAAGTGGGAGGCTCTGATGAGGCAATGATGATTTTGCTGGCCAGAAGAGTTTCATTTCCGAACGATCAGTGTCTAACCAGAGGATTGAAGTGTGGTGGGGATTTTTGAGAAAATCTGACATGGTGTTGTGGATAAAGACTTAAAGGGTCAAGGGCTATTTGAAGAAAGCGATTTAGTCCAAGTGGAGTGCCTTTTATTTTGTTTTATGCCTTTACTTCAGGATGAACTAGCACATATTGTGCAAGAATGGAACCTTCATAAAATTAGACCCTCATCTAATGAATCCTTGCCTCTCAGTAGACCAGAAACCCTTTTCTTTGCTTGAACTCGCCAGTACGAGCTCTTATCACAATAATGTCGCGGCAGTTGACATAGATGTAGCAAGGGATGTATGTCGTGAATCTCCAGACACAAATCTCGCCGATACATTTGCCAAGCTGGCACAGATAATCATGGATGAAAAAAATGTACAAATGCCAAGTAGTCCTCAAAGTGCACTTGATCTTTATTCAGAACTTCTTGCTTCCATTGGAGATATCTAAGAGGTCATGTAAGGGCTCTGACAAACAATACTGAAGGTATGGTTTCAGCATACTTGTTGGAAGCTAGAAGGTCCTGCATTCTTTGTAGGTTTTGTTCAATAAAGAGAGCATACTGGATGTAGTCTATTTTGTTTCAGAATGGACAAACACACGGGATTGACGGGTTGACGGAAGTTGATCTTGACGATCTTGAAGTGGTCGAAGATGTGTGCTGTGGCAGAACAACCACTATTCTTTGCTCTGAGGCTTTCTCGAGAGTTACCAGTGATTATAATGAAAAGTGCGTCATCTCTGTTAATCTGCTTCATCATATCGAAAACATCTAAATATCATTAAAAACATGCCAGCAGGCGTGGCAGGTGTTTAAACAAGAGGGAGAAGGGAATTTGGGGACGAGACCGCCCAGGAGGGAGATTGGAGGAAGATTTCCTTTGCTCCTTGCTTCACGCTTCTCACACAACCAAGATCCCCTTTTCCTTTCCTTACAAACGCCTGCCACACAGGCTATCTTAAGCAAGGTAAAAAATTTCAAGTGAGACTGTCCTAAACAGGGTACATCGTTTTGTGCAAGTATGTTCCGCTGCGACAATTTTTTCCATTTGTCCTTAAAAGAGTGATAGAATTGCGGGTGTTGTCCTAAACAAGGTAATGTATTTTAAGATTATTTTCTTCAGTCCATGACAGGGTCACGGTTTCAAACTCTCGGCGACTCACATATACCCAAATATGGATTGAGTATACTCCCTCTTGGCACTATATCGTGTTAATTTGCTGAATTGTTGCTATACAGAGGAATTATCTATTTAAGCCCCTGGTTGTTGGAACTTTGGATAGTACTGTACTATCCACTGGATAAATCACTATCCAGCAGATAAGTATTACGGAAATCAATTAAGTTATCCACTGGATAGAGATTTATCTGGTGGATAGCGTTATCCAACGTTTGAAAAACCTGAGAGGATAACCCTGAGTTTATGAAGGGGTTGAGAGTTTACGAGCTGAACTATACAGAAGGGTAGGATAATCGATATTTTGTTTTAGAGATTGTTTTTTTGTGGCTTACACCTGTTCCGGTATTGTTTCATGCTCTTCTTCGCTGCATTAACGTAGAAAGCACAGTTTCCTTTTAAGTACATATGTCAAAACTATCATTTTGCAATGCATGGAAGGTAAGGTATAGCAAAGAGATATCTTCTCTGAAAAAATGTTTTTTAAAATGATAAGGATTTAGAGCTCGGGTCCAACACCCCAATCAAAATAGTTGCACATGCTAATCTGCCTTTTCTGTAAATAGCTAACAAGAACATCACCTTTATTCACTTCACATAACAAGAGGGACCACTGCTGGACAATGAAATACTTTAAACTTGAAGCTAAAAAGTAACCTGGCTTGATTCTCGCTGTGTAGTATAAAGTAACATTCGCTTAAACTTTGCCTTACTGATGAGTGACAGGATCCCATATCCGGGGCACCCAACAACGTTTTCGTCCAAAATACAATGAGTAAGCTTTTCAGCCTATCCCAAGTAGTTTTAGGTCTCAATTAATGAATTCTGATCCAAGTGGCGTTGTAAAATTTGTATTTGTTTCCTGGTTGTATCTTTTCCTAGGGCAACGTGAGTTCTTTTTCTGTTTTGTCTTAGTGCCATCATACTCTCAAACCCGAAAACTTTTGGTCGGTTTCCTTTACCTACGAAGCGAGGGAAATGTGAAAATTAAACTCAGAAAATTGTTGGAAAATTGGTAGATAAGCTGCGAAAATCGTACACAAATCGAACTTGAAATTTTTAGCTGCCCTCGAGTTAAAATCTGGGGCAATATTTGTTTGTTAAAACAGTTGTTGGGTGCACCTGCTATATGAGCCAGTTTAAACAATATTGAAACCCCAAGCACCTTTGTTTCTGAGTAACAAAGTGAACTCCTCTGCGAGTTCACCATAGGACTGGTATGTGTGAGGCAACTCCAAATGTTGTCCACAGGTGTGGGCTATGGGTCTGCAAGCATACCCATCTGTGGAGGAAAAGATACCGCTACTACTCGGCATACTATTGCTACCAGTAATGAATTTTGAGAACGTTTCTAGTGCAGATGCATCTAGTGATCTAATGAACTTTTTCAAGAAATCAAAGCACTGCCTCTTTGCATGACTGCTTGGGTTGCAGTTAATGACTCGTAGTACTTTCCTGGCTGTTGGTGTTCTTAACGAAAAGAACTCTACAATGCTAGGGGTCTTGAAAGGCTTGTTATCTTCCAGTTCACGTAAAATTGGTGCCCAGCATTGAGCTATGTTACGGGGTCCCTGGATGAGTTCCTGGTGTGCCAATTCTACATCCATCCTCTTTGTCGTCCTTTTCAAAACAACAACTTACTACTTTGTCAAAGAGTTCCCTCTTATCTGCTGTAATGTGGCCTCAAAAAGACGTCAGCAGGAAATCAGTGCTGATAGTTTCCTCACCAGAGAGGCAAGATGCTAGGAAGGCGCTTGACAGAGAGACAGGAAAATACTCAGCAGCTTTGTAAACAAAGACAAGGATCCTTGCGATTGCTTGACACCCAATTTTTTTGGTAGTCATGGCAAAGGGAAGGAACCTTGTCTTTGTCGCCAGTAGAGGCCGAGGCAAAAAATTGTGGCCAAAAGGTTGTGACAACGTCTCTAGTCACTCCAATGATTTATTCTCCTTACTTCATTGCACAATCTGAGAGGCATTTTGCAAGATTGATACGAATGAACTTCATGATATGTAATCGTAGTTTTGCTCACCAAACTAGTGTTCTAGGTAAAGAGGAATTTGGAAAACCTTGAAATATCCACATGATAAGGAGGACTGAGTCCAAACTCATGAAACGAAATGAGCAAATAATGTATCCACCCGGGCGCGAATCCTGAAAGGCCGATTAACGTTAATCCAGGATTAAAATTTTGTAATCTGTTTATGTATTTTACATTCCTATGCACTGCTTGGGGTGTAACATTTTGTGTTATCATTGCTGTATCTCGTGTAACCTCGAGTTGCATGTTGTTACACGAGAAAACTGTGCTTGAAATTTGGCTTAGTCCTGGGTTAAGCTTAACCATCTTTAAGGAACCAGGCCCAGATGTGTTTTTTTACTCTTACCTTTTCATCTCTAAACCTTGATACCATGCTTTGCTCCACATTTCTGTCCGCCAGAAATTTACAGACCTAATAAAGAATTTCAAAAGGCGACGACTGGTTACTTGACTCACCTCACCTTCTTGTTCAAACTAGTATATTTTTTTTTTGTTTTCAAAATAATTTCATAAAATGTAGCAATTTTTTCAAGTTTTTAGTGTTATTCTGTGTAAACAACTGATACGATACAAACCTCTTCCACAGTAGCAACCATCTCTTTCCTTAAGGCTCTCGAGCTCCACTTCTCTCCACGTGCCTATGATGTTCCAGCTTCTCTTTATCATGTGATACACTGCAATTTATCGCGCGATAAACTGACTAATTATCGCCGACAATTTTTAAATTTTCTCGTTTATCGCGCGATAAATTTGAATTATCACGTGATAACTTAAGAAAAAAAAGATTGCAATGTCCCTTACAGGCCACCGTATCATGTACATGTATTTATCTTTCTATCTGAGGAGAAAATGAGTTGTGATTTTTTTCCTAAATAAAGAGAATGATTTTATGTCTGATGGATTTTTTCAAGTTGTTCCATATTAATACTCCTTTATACTTTACTTAGTATTTTTAGTAGTTAGCGCGTGCCTGTATTGGATGAACGTTTGAGGATGATCTTGTAATATTTTTGTGAATATCTTTGTTGAGAGTTAAGAAATTGTTGATGTCATTTAAAGGTAGAATTGATAACTCTTTAAAGAGTTGACTTTTATGATCTGTAAATTTTGAAAAAGTTATTATTCTTATAATTTTCTTTTGTAGTTTCCTTATTGGTTGTGGTCTTTTTTGAGTACGTGTTGCCCCATGTAATATTACCATAACTCAAATATGCAAGATATAAACCCTGCATGACATTTTGGAGTAGATAATGCCTTACTCTGCAAAGAATACCAGTCGTTTTAGCAATTTTGTTGCAAATGTTAGTTATTTGATGTTTCCAGGTGAGACTTCTATTTATTTGGAGTCCCAGGAATCTAGCTGATTCTACCTGCTTGATATTGAGTCATCTAATATTAGTTTTTTTAACTGATTTTCTTATTCGTAGCATTGAACATTAATAACTGTCTTTTTTATATTATATACGGCGGGGCCAAACCACCACTTCAAGGGCTTATCAGAGCGTGGCAATTTTTTTTCCAAAATGGCGGCCAAAAACGCGCGCAGGGCAGTGTGGGTAGTAATATATGAGACTTTGATCCAGGGTGCTTGAAGATAAGCGGTTTGTTAAAGGACTGGGTACGACAGAAGCAAAAAAGACCGCCATTTTCAACTTCTCGGAAGTTTCAGCTTTCTTTTGATATATAACTTGCCACAGCAAAATAAGCAAAAACAAATTCCTCTCAGCATGTTGGGACACGAAAATGGTTAATTGGATTGTACTGGTATGTATGTTTTTATAGCAAAATTTATAATTATTTTACGTCGAAAGTTAAAAAAGTAAAATGATACGATTTAAGTTTAATGTACATTCTACCCAAATCTGCTAAATGAAGGGCGCCAATTGGTAACAATTTTCCACGGGCGTAGGGGGAGGGTGAGTTTTCGTTACTCAATTAACTAGTCAGTGGTGTCCTTGAACGCTGTGGTAGGTACTTGATGTATGGGAATATGTATTGTATTGATTCCAAGTGACCGGGATGATTGAATGGGGCCAGAATTCAGAACCAAAAAAAAAAATGCTTCGATTATGGGGAATGTTTTGCTTCCCAATAACAATGTTGTCCACAAGTCACAAGTACAGTAGTTGGATGTAACTAGTTTTGTTCACGATTCACTCTCACTTTGTTTCACCGCAATCACGATGTCTCTAGAAACTAAAAAGCATTTTTCTTTGTTCTCTTTAAAAGT